TTTCCTTGCTAATTATTTTGTTGCTAGTTAGCTTTGTCTTGCTAGTTTTTTTTTTGGTTTTTTTTTACAATTTAGGAACTTTTTATGTTGAATGTGTTCAGAGTGATTTTGACATTGTCTGTCTATATATAGATATATATATATACTTATACTTTTATGTGTGTGTGTGCAGTGTTGTGTGCTCAGGTGTGTAAGGTGTACCGGTTTCAGACGGAGGATCAAAGATGGCTGCTGGTCCGGGAGCAGATGTCAGAGACGCCGCTCTCTTTTTCTTTACCCAAACAGCTACTGAGCGCGCTCATACAGAGCCACACCGGCCGGTGTGTGTTTGTATTCTCTGTGTTAAAGTCATGTGACGCTTTGCTATTCACCTTTTAACTGAACTTTATCAACAGAAAATCCAAAGAAGAAGGTCAAATGTTGCATTTAAGAATGAAATAAAGTAATAATAGTTTGTTTTGAGGCTTTTGAACTACAAGCTCATTAACTCAACAACATTTATGGAAACTTATTGTCTTAATTTGCTCTTGATGCTTTATATTTATATATCAGCTTTAATCATTCAGAGTCATTCGTAAATCTCAAACAAGCCCGTATTTATTTCCCTCCTTCAGGGTCCAGGAAGTGACGGAGCTCGGTGACCTTTCACCCCACTGGGACGGGCTCCGCCATGACGTCATCGACCACTGTGACCACCTGATTGGCTGCTATCGGGAAACGCTTGCTGAGCTCGACAAACTCTCAGGTGTGAAATGAATTAAAGGGGCCAAAACCAGCCTTTTAAAGGAATAGTTTGACATTTTTCGGTGGAGATAATCACGTATTCACGTTCACCATTATCGTGTTTGTACGATAAATATGAAGCTGGAGCCAGCAGCCGCTTAGCTTAGCTTAAAGACTGAAAGCAGAGGGAAACAGCTAGGTAAAGATCTGCGTACTTCTTCTACCTTTGCACGTTACATCTTTGTTTAAAATACTTTGACACCAGGAAGCCCAAAATGTTGAACTATGCCTTTAAAAAAAGAGTTTTATATTCACCTTGTGTGAAAATGATTTCATCGTTTTCTTCTTCTTTGAAACAGCCTCGTCGTGTTTTAAGTCGAGCAGCAGTAAATCAGACAAACATCTTCAGTTTGTTCCAACAAACCTGCACTCGCAGAGGATGGAGGTCACCGGTCCAGACAGCACAGGTCCACTCAGAACTTATTATTATTACTATTGTTATTATTAATAATAATCCAATAAAATCTCTCTCTCCCTCCCCCCCCCCAGGTGTGTGGTACGAGGTCATAACAGTCGGGGCTCCAGCTGATCACCACCAGGCCTTCAAACACGGAGGACTGAAGAAGCTCCTCAGTAAACACACAAACCACACAGACAGGTGTGTGTGTGTGTGTGTGTGTGGGGGATTAATCTCTGTAATCTCTGTCTGGATTAGTACATCTGTTTCTTTTCACTTTCCCATAATGCAACAGGCTTTAAATCTGAAAAACATCTCTGATGATATGAAAATACTGAATTAAGTGAATAATGAATAATAAAACTTGTGTGTTAGGTGAATCGGCACATTTTGTCTGACTCACATCAGCTTGTCGCGCTACTGTTAGCAAATGTTGCTAATGGCGCACGGCTAAAACTGTCCGGCAGCAACTCGCACCCGTGAACTTTAGTTCCACATTTAAACGCATCGATCTACAGACCGTGTTTTCGTTGAGTGTCACAGAGAGCAGAGGACGAATTAGTATCGAGGAAACAGTACAAGTACCTAGTATTTGTACTGCAGTACAGTACAAGTACTGAGAGCCCCTCACAGTTTTGTTTTGTCTTTCTCTCTCCAGCTCCGTCTCGTACTCCCGGGACGAGAGCTCCAGAGCGAGGGAGCTGCTGGCCAGCGTGGCCCAGCTGCAGCCTCTGGTCTTCGGGCTTGCTGAGGAGCTGCTGGCCGTCTCTCTGGAGCTGAGCGCCGCGCGGCTGCAGCTGGTCCTGGACAGCCTGACTCAACAGGCGAGGGGGGGAGGGGGGCTGGAAGTAGAGGGTTTAAAGCAGGCATGGACAAACTACTTTTTAATCCGGCCCGTCAAATATTGGTACAAAATTGTCCAAACTATACTGAAGACTAGGGCTGGGTTTTAATTTCCCGTATGATATGAATTCATCACACACCATTATACCGGTGCATAGCCGGAACAACTGCTGTCTGCTTTCAACAGGCAGCTAAATGTATTCTTTGATGCTATAGCACAGCGGTCAGCGCTAGTTCTCTTATATGTATTGAGAGGGAACCCTGGTCATAACTTTATAACACAACAATTAACAACCCACAACTAACGCTCTTTAACAGAGAACAACACCACAGCACACAACAGTCTGTGACACATACACAATTTGTAACACTAGTAATTGTACATTTATAAAATTTCACCGCCAAACTGCATGCTGGGTACAGCTCGCGAGCGAGCCTGCTTACTAG